TTGTTTCCACGCTCGCATCTCCACTGAACAAGATTTGGTGATCTGGACTTCCGGGAAACAAAGTAGCCTCTGCCCTGGAGATGCAGTACATCAACATATGTTTTCATGAAATCTTCAGGAGTTTTGCCCTTCAAGACATGAATCTGACGTTCAACGCGCCCATCTCTGTCTTTTCGTAAGGACTGTTCGATGGATTTCACCCAAAACTCTTCCATCTGTAAAAATAAACATTTTAAGGGTAAAATAAACATATTTTAACGTAAACTTAATTCTGACAAAAATGAATGATGAGGAATAATTACTTATGTTATTTAAATACTTATGATTATTTATAGTAATAATTTGAGAACCAACTTACTTTAAAGACTAAATTAAATCCACATACAATACTGTGCAGAAATCTTAGGTCACCTGAAAAAAATGACATTCAAAATTATTTACTGGGGAAGTAAACATTTGTTTGAAACATTACTATACTATAGTAATTTGTATAAACACAAATTAAAAACATTTTTTGTATGTGAGGTTAACCTTAACCATTTTCAAAGCTCTCCTCAAGGAAGTGCTGTATTTACAGTTACCATCCAATATGTGGTTAATTTAATCTATCCTTCATTAAAATATATCAGGTGTGCAGCAAGAAGTCAGGAACCAAACCTGTGTTAGTCTCTATGTATTTTTCCTAATCAACATAGGAATACAGCTAGAAAAACAACGGTCTGGGTTTTGACTAATCTGCGCACTCCAGCCATTGCATGAATTTGTTCAATTCCACACCTGATTTTATTTATAATCGTGAATATGTTCAATTCCACACCTGATTTTATTTATAATCATGAATTTGTTCAATTCCACACCTGATTTTGTTTAAAAGACCCATATCATATCTTATTCTTGTATTTCTCCCGCTGAGATCCATATATAACGTTTGTGTGGTTTTACACATCAAAAACAATAATTTATTTTACATGACCATTTTCTACTTACTGTGGCTTTAAGATTGATGTATTTAAATAACCTCAGTTCTTATTCAAAAAAGCAGCCCATGCTGAACTTCAGAATATTTAAATAGGTGGATATATGTAAATGAGTTAGATGTTGTAACCAAACAATTAATTGAAAATGGGCAGCTTTTGCCTTTTAGTTTCCATATACAGTTCCATATACAGCAAGAAAAGTCAACCCTTTGGAATTACCTGGATTACAAATTAGTTTACTTAATTGTATTGACTGTATTGGCTGTATGGATTGAGCACTGGTGCGATTTGAAATTTAGACAGTGTTTATATATTACATAAAACTTTTTTAAAACCAGTGAGTAAAATTCAGTTTTTCATGCATTGGACCCTTTAATGAAGGAATGACTAGATAAACTAGTTACTGGATGGTTACTGTAAACACTGGACTTTCTTAAGGAAAGCATTGGAAATTAATACACCAGAAAGATAGTTTATTTGTACTTACAGTTATGTTAGTCATTTCTCTGAACAATCAAACAATTTCTTCCCAGATAAACATCTTTTTATATCAGTTTTCTCAAATGCTCTTTTGCCATCTAATTCTGCTGGGAAGAGTGACTAGTTCACTATATTTACACTCCTTGGCACTTCATTTAATACTCTTCCTTGTAGAACTACAGAGTGCACCTATATGGTCAGTAGAGCTGATAAAATGGACAGTGAGTGTAGAAACAAGGTGAGTGTACATACTGTATGTTGCTATGAGATTAGTGACCAGTTCACTATATTTGATGCTGCTCTGAGAGTAGTGACCACTTAACTGCATTCAATGCCTCTCTGAGAGTAGTGACCATTTCTCTGCATCTAATGTTGCTCTGAGAGTAGTAACAACTTCACTGTATCTAAGGCTGCTCTGAGAGTACAGACCACTTCATTGCATTCAATGTTGCTCTGAGAGTGGTGACCAGTTTACTGTATCTAATGCTGCTCTGAGAATAGTGACCACTTAACTGTATCTAATGCTGCTCTGAGAGCAGTGACCAGTTTACTGTATCTAATGCTCCTCTGAGAGTAGTGACCATTTCTCTGTATCTAATGCTGCTCTGAGATTAGTGACCTGTCAACTATGTGATCCTGCTCTGAGAGTACTGACCACTCCACTGTATTTAATACTGCTGACATTAGTGACCATTCTTCTGTGCCTAATGCTGCTCTGAGAGTACTGACCACTTCACTGTATTTAATGCTGCTGAGATTAGTGACCACTTAACTGTATTTAATGCTGCTCTGAAAGTAGTAACCATTTCAGTGTATCTAATGCTGCTCTGAGAGTAGTGACCATTTCTCTGCATCTAATGCTGCTCTGAGAGTAGTAACAACTTTGCTGTATCTAATGCTCCTCTGAGAGTAGTGACCACTTCTCTGCATCCAATGCTGCTCTGAGAGTAGTGACCAGTCAACTATGTGATCCTGCTCTGAGAGTACTGAACACTTCACTGTATTTAATGCTGCTTAGATTAGTGACCACTCTTCAGTACCTAATGCTGCTCTGAAAGTAGTGAACATTTCAGTGTATCTAATGCTGCTCTGAGAGTGGTGACCATTTCAGTGTATCTAATGCTGCTCTGAGAGTGGTGACCATTTCTCTGTATCTAAGGGAGCTCTGAGATCAGAGACCACTTCATTGCATTCAATGCTGCTCTGAGAGTAGTGACCAGCTTACTGTATCTAATGCTGCTCTGAGAGTAGTGACCATTCAACTATGTGATCCTGCTCTGAGAGTACTGACCTCTTCACTGTATTTAATGCTGCTGACATTAGTGACCACTCTTCTGTACCTAATGCTGCTCTGAGAGTACTGACCACTTAACTGTATTTAATGCTGCTGAGATTAGTGACCACTCTTCTGTACCTAATGCCGCTCTGAAAGTAGTAACCATTTCAGTGTATCTAATGCTGCTCTGAGAGTACAGACCATTTCAGTGTATCTAATGCTGCTCTGAGAGTAGTGACCATTTCTCTGCATCCAATGCTGCTCTGAGAGTAGAGACTACTTCATTGCATTCAATGCTGCTCTGAGAGTAGTGACCACTTCTCTGTATCTAATGCTGCTCTGAGAGTAGTGACCATTCAACTATGTGATCCTGCTCTGAGAGTAGAGACCACTTAACTGTACTTAATGCTGCTGAGATTAGTGACCACTCTTCTGTACCTAATGCTGCTCTGAGAGTACTGACCACTTAACTGTATTTAACGCTGCTGAGATTAGTGACCACTCTTCTGTACCTAATGCTGCTCTGAAAGTAGTAACCATTTCAGTGTATCTAATGCTGCTCTGAGAGTAGTGATGATTTCAGTGTTTCTAATGCTGCTCTGAGAGTAGTGACCATTTCAGTGTATCTAATGCTGCTCTAAGAGCAGTGACCATTTCAATATATCTAATGCTTCTCTGAAAGGTGTAACCATTTGGCTGTATTTATCTGGAACGCAGAATTCGAAAATGGAGGAGAAAATCAGCAGTTACAGTTTACCATCTTAAGACTGTTAACCGAAATATACTCTCTTTTGGCAGCAGTTACAGTTTACAGTCTAAGACAACAATCTTCATTAATGTTCAGACTAAACTACCTAGATAGCATATATCGGTCTGCTGGTCTGATAAGGTCGGCACCCCACTGACTGATATTTTATCAAAGTCTGGCATTTTGTCAGTGGCTATTAGGCTTTCAAGCATGACAATACATGCTTGTACAGTGTCACTGTGGCTCTTGGCAAGTAGTACTGTACAAAAGGACTTGAAGATGGCAGAGACTTCTTCCAGCAAGCTGGTGTTTTGCATTCTTGCAAATACAAATGTGGAAAAGTCCTTCAGGCCTTTATCTGTAGTCTGTCTGCTTATGGCTTGGAACACAGCCTTGATTATATGAGCAGAGCAGAGGTGCAGCACCGTGAATCTCTTAATTTCCACCCAGGTCTTTGTCCTCTGACAAACAGCATAGGACCTGTCCAAGTATGCATGTATGGATTCTTTATTAAATCCTAGGAGCGCACACTGCATCAAAGCCCAGCTGTAGTCAGTTTCAATTTGATAGACTTTCAGCTTTGTGAATTTGGAGAGTTTTAAAAGGAACTGCAACAGCAAAAATGTAATTGGTGGAACTGAGTGTTCATTTGTCAACAATTCACAAACAGGGAGTGGTGGTGTATTTTGACCTTGACTTGCTAGAGTAAGGGAATAATACAGCATACGTTTTGTCTGGTTAGGTAGTTTTGAAACAACACCTCCAGATGCATTCAGATACAGGGTAACTGGTGTGTTCTTCTATGCTGTACTAGTATCCCAATCCCATTTCTGTGTACATATGTGCACCAAATAGGTCCACCTGAAATTGCTGTATATACCCTGGAAAATGATGAAATTGTGTATCACATTCCCTCATGACGGTTTGTGTGAGATAAACTTCCATTAGCACATTGTCATGAATTCTTGTGCTTTTCTGGAGCTCAGAAGAAATTACTTTCAGGATGTTCCTATTCAGACTTTTGGTAATGCTACCTGCTAGGATTTCTGCTACAGGCGTGGCACTTAGTCTTTCATAGTACACCTGACTTACTCCCTTACCAATAGACTTTGCAATTTTTCCCCATCTTATGTTGGTAGCTGGCCTGAATTTTTTTTCTGATTTCAAATGGGTAATCTGCCCATAACGATGTACCGTTATTGCAACATCAGTTTTATGTTCTGGTTTGCTTTCCATTTGAAAAATGTATATGGCTTTGCAAGAGAGAAAAGTGCAAACTGCCTTCATATGCAAGTATGGTGAATGCCTTTTCTGCTATGTTTAATTTTCACATGGTGATATCGAAAAACCAGTATACAGCAAGGATTTTTTTGTTTGAACCTGTTGCAGAGGTAATTGCTTCATGGCTTCTGGAGTTTTGATGAACCTGGTAAGGGTGCAATTTTTTCCCATATTCGGTGGTCAATTGTAATTGTGAACTGCTTAGGCACAACAGATACAGTTCTCCATTTTCCCATCTTTACCTTTGCTGCTTTTGCATCCATCTTTTGTGATCTTCCACCTCACTCTCTGATTTCTCCACTGCTCCACTGTTTTCCACATCGCTCTCTGATTTCTCCACTGCTTCACTGTCTTCCACATCACTCTCTGATTTCTCCACTGCTTCACTGTCTTCCACATCACTCTCTGATTTCTCCACTGCTTCACTGTCTTCCACATCACTCTCTGATTTCTTCGCTGATCCACTGTCTTCCACATCACTCTCTGATTTCTCCACTGCTCCACTGTCTTCCACATCACTCTCTGATTTCTCCACTGCTTCACTGTCTTCCACCTCACTCTCTGATTTCTCCACTGCTTCACTGTCTTCCACATCACTCTCTGATTTCTCCGCTGATCCACTGTCTTCCACATCGCTCTCTGATTTCTCCACTGCTTCACTGTCTTCCACATCACTCTCTGATTTCTCCACTGCTTCACTGTCTTCCACATCACTCTCTTATTTCTCCACTGCTCCACTGTCTTCCATTTCACTCTTTGATGAAAGTTTCTCCACTGCTTCACTATCTTCCACATCACTCTCTGATGAAAGTTTCTCCACTGCTCCACTGTCTTCCACATCACTCTCTGATTTCTTCACCGCTCCACTGTCTTCCACATCACTCTGTTTTCTCCACTGCTTCACTGTCTTCCACCTCACTCTGTTCTCTTCACTGCTCCACTGTCTTTCACATCACTCTCTGATTTCTCCACGGCTTCACTGTCTTCCACCTCACTCTCTGATTTCTTCACTGCTCCACTGTCTTCCACATCACTCTGTTTTCTCCACTTCTTAACTGTCTTCCACCTCACTCTCTGTTCTCTTCACTGCTCCACTGTCTTCCACATCACTCTCTGATTTCTCCACTGCTTCACTGTCTTCCACATCACTCTCTGATTTCTCCGCTGCTTCACTGTCATCCACCTCACTCTCTGATTTCTTCACTGCTCCACTGTCTTCCACATCGCTCTCTGATTTCTCCACTGCTTCACTGTCTTCCACCTCACTCTCTGATTTCTCCACTGCTCCACTGTCTTCCACATCACTGATTTCTCTAACGCTCCACTGTCATCCACCTCACACTCTGATGAAAGTTTCTCCACTGCTCCACTGTCATCCACCTCACTCTCTGATTAAAGTTTCTCCACTGCTCCACTGTCTTCCACCTCACTCTCTGATTTCTCTAATGCTCCACTGTCTTCCACCTCACTCTCTGATGAAAGTTTCTCCACTGCTCCACTGTCTTCCACCTCACTCTCTGATTTCTCTAATGCTCCACTGTCTTCCACCTCACTCTCTGATGAAAGTTTCTCCATTGCTTCGTGTTCCACCTCACATACAGTTAACAATCTTTCTTCTGCAGCACTGATTTCCACTTTACTCTCTAAAGATAATCTCTCTTTTTGAGCGCTGTCTTTCACCATATGTTTTTTACAGATTGGTTCCCTGACTCACTCTCTGACAACAGTCCTTCTCTTCCTGCATGGTCTTCTGCTTCATAATGACACATTACACTACTTATTGCAGCCGGATCTCTCTCCTTACTCTCTAATATCACGCTCTCTGTCTCTGTTACAGGAACATGTCTCTCCTCACTCTTTAGAGGAACTGTTTCTGTTTTAGTGGCGTCATCTGGCTCATCCTCCATAGTACTTATTGCATCATTATCTTTGTACTCATTTATTGCCTTCACTGTGCTCCTCAGTCCCTTACGGTTATGATTCCATATAACCCATAACCAGTGTTGTTTTTCTTTGTATCTTCTCCAAAGATTGCCATAGAGAGTGCTGACCAAATCTTTGAGCCATGTGTTATGTCTGCTCCTATTACATTCAGTTTTACAAATTCTCTAACTACAACATCTAGTCCTCCAGCTATGTCCCATAGGGCCTTCTTTGAAGTTCTCTTTCCTCTCCTATATTTTGTCATTGTCTGTTAAATGTGTAACAAAACACAATTAAACAATATAATACATAATACATTTTTGAGTGTAATTCCCAGTTTAAAGTTACGTTAAGTTAGCAGTTTTACTTTGCGAAAATATAAACAATGCAATTATGTATCACAGCAAAAACACACTACTGATTTTTAAATATTCAGCAGTTAATAGGTAACAAAACCAGTAGCATTTTAATTCATAGTTTTAGAAATTAAACATTTAATAATACGTTTCATTATGTGTTCCTATAATATTTTGACATGAACTTGACAGAAACATCTAAATTTTTAGCAGTTATAATATGTAATATGTGTATGTATAGGGAATTTTCATGATTAATTACATTTTTCTTTTGAAGCAAATAATGATTAATCACAATTTGTGTTATTGGCCAAAATCTTACCCAAAACAAAGATTTTTTTAATCACATTAATTTATCACTTTAAATAATACATTAACATTATTCTAATGTGTGAACGGGTTCACACAAACCTGAACATGAAACTCACGAACTTCACAGAGTTCTTTCCATTATGAATGAGTGTATACATCATTATGGTTCACCTCCGTGATTGTAGCCTCTTGCTCTCGTCCATACAGCTCGTGAATTATCGGTACGGTGGAGGATCTCGAGTGTGTTGAGTTTTACATGGAGCTCTTGTGACATTATCTAACTTTATCATGTTAGCGATAAATTGATGCGTTAACTTTGATAGCCCTAGTACATACACTTATTTATTTGTTGAATCAGACTTACCAGTATGAAAATGAAGATTACATCTAGCCACAGTTCAGTTTGTTTCTCTATCGATGAAAGCTGTAAACGAAGTGATTGGTGATTGTCACGTGACGCCTCCATTTGAAGTAGAATTCAAAGTACTAGTAGAATAACACTACAGGCAAGCAATTGTTATTTCTATATAATAAGGCCATTTTTATCTATTATTCAAAATAAATCTGGAATAAATTTGCAATAAATCTGGGTGAATAAAAAATGTCAGTTGTAGTTGCAATAATATTAAAGTATGCTAGGAATATTCATTAGGAAACTACAATAAGATAGCTACAAAATTTTAATTGTTAATTTGGCTGTACAGTTTTGTGCCTTAGAGTTTTTACATTAAAAAAACAAAGTGTGAAAATAATAATGTAAGTGAAAATAATAATGTAAGTGAAATGTAGTCTTGCGCTGCAGTTTAAAGGATTGGTAGTCAATGAGATTTTGATGTATTTTTGAAGGTTTTTATGGTTCTCTGTTTCATGATGTTTCATCAGTCCCTTTTTGTATGACCTCTGGTTATATATATAGTTTATGTAGAAGGTTTGAGAGACGCATCTCTGTATACTACATAAGATTTTAGATCTATATGTCAAAAGAATGCATCACAGTTGTAATTTATTTATAAAAAAAAACAAAATAAGTAAAAAAGGAAGTAAAATTAAACTTTATGTTGCCAAATCCAAGTTAGTATTATGTCTATCAGGTGTGTCTCTGTGCACTAAAAGTGATGGATATGTCACAGTAGTAATTTATTACTATAAAAAATTCATTAAAATTCGGTCGAGGCATATTTTACCAAACTAAAGGTTGTAGCATGTTTGTCAGGTGTGTCTCAAACCAAAGCTCGTATGTTATTTGTATTATGCTGTTTAATTAAGTACAAGTTATTTTATTTTGCAGTACGTTTGTTCAGTGTGTCTCAGTTCAATTTGTAGGTCCACTGCATACGCCTTTAGACTGCCTAATTTGCTAAAAGTGCATACTTGTTAATGTCAGGTATTGATTTTCACATCATCTTTGTATTTCAGTAGGTTTTAGGTCTTTATAAAAAACACCAACAAGCTGCTCATGTATGTGGATGTTTTACGTTTTTAAGCAGTACCCGCACTTTACAGACGGTCCCTTACCGTGTTAGGCGACCCCTGCAGCGATTCCGCCTATTTTCATCATATCTACTTGTCGAAATGGAAAGTTTGGGTACTTCGGCGAAATATAAACATTGTAGTTTGTTGTCTGTTTTACCACGATTTTGCCACGGTTCTTACTTGTGTACAACATAGCGTATATGTACCGTGACATACCCGTCTACGAACTGATACATAATCTGCATGTGATAATAAGTAAGTGGTTTCGTAACTCAAACGTTATAATCACGTGATCATGATGTATTCAATTACCAATGTGTGCAAGTGTGTTCCTGTAATCCTGACAAACATTTTTCTTGTTCAGTTTTATTATATATTTCACTTTTGAAGTGTATGGTCTTTTCTTTTTAGTTTTTGATACTGCATACACTAAACAACAACTGTTCATCTGGTGACGCTGTAGAAACACCACTTTTTCAGTTTTGACAGAGGTCACAGAACAATTATTAGCAGCTGGTGTGCTAAATTACAGACCAAGAAGTCCAGTTTCTCATTAAATTAATGTGCCTTATATCTGCTTCAAATAGAGAAAAAAATTACATCCTAATAAAAAGCTGAAATTCATACATAAACAAACATGCAACAAAAATAATGTATTTACAATATTGCAGCAGGACCACAGCAGCCCAGGCCTAATGAACACTTGCAAAAAAGGCCAAAAAGTGTTTTACTTTGAACCATGCATCTTAAATTAAAGGGTTGAGGAACAACAACCAATAACAATTCAAAACAACATACTACTATCTCATGTAAATTATGTAAATGAACACATTTGTAATAAGTGTGCATTACTTTTTACGTGCACAATTAAAGATGGTTCTTCAAGGGCTCTTTAGTAAAGACATTAATTCTATTAAGAACCATGAGTTTTATATAGAAGCAGTTCATAGTTAAATGGTTCTTTGCAGGATGACCTTCAAATTGATGGAGAATGTGTAGTATATAGTTCTATATAGAACCCTTTTGAAAGTATTCCAACAAAAACAGTTCTGCTGTTGTTAGAAAGACAAACTTATAACAATAAGAGAACAATTTTTTGTGCTTCATAGAAATATATACACAACACATTCTCCATCAAACTGAACAACTTCACCAACCAAAGAACCATTTAAGCATGAAATGAACAAATGGTTCGAAGTAGAACTAGGGATGCACCGATCCGATATTAGGATTGGATATCGGTCCTGATATTAACAAAATTAGCTGGATCGGGTATTGGATAATTATCCATGGGACCGGTCCTTTCACTTTAATTTGTTTGCGACGCGTGCTTCACCATATGCCAGCAGCACGTGTGCAGCGTGCCGGTAGACTTGACTTACAAACAGGAACAACAACATGGAGCGAGCCAAAGAGTCAGCTGTGTGGAGGTATTTCACGCTTGCTACGCTAACAAGTTTGCGCTGCAAAATACAACAAATTGAATTAAGCACCTCCAAAAGTACCATGGTAAAGAGCACGCCGAGTTCACAACGTTACAGTCGAATGAACAAAAAGAAGCATGAGAAAATACGACAAACAGTTAACTTTGGCGGACGCACTGCAAAGACGTGAAAAATTTCCAACCGACAGCGTGAAAGCGACAAAAATAACAGAGAAAGTTCTGGAATTTTGCTGTTTTAGATGCGCAACCCATGTCGATGGTCGAAGATGAAGGCTTTCGTCGCCCGCTTGGACACCTGGAACCAAGGTATAATTTACCCTACTGTGGAAGATGAACCTGTCTACGCTCTTGCTACCTTGCTGGAACCGAGCTATAAAGACAGGTATGATTCTAAACTTATTACATTATAGAATCTTTCTCTCTTTCTACAGCACCACTAACAGTACCTTGCAAATTTCAATGCTATAAGATACCATGATGTGCATTAAACGTTTGGATTAGAAAATATAAAAGATAAATTATATATCCTTTATATACATACTTTATGTTTCTATGACTTTGATCAGCCTTAAGTTTTATTGTTACATCCAAGAATTTAGTGTCACAATGAGGTGAATTTTAACCAGTGTGTTATATATTTAACTTATGTTTTATTTCTGTGTCAGATATTGTACAAGTGCAGAGTCTGCAAAGTGTGCAAAAGATGCACTAACAAAGGAACTTGAGGGAGAAGTCTTGAGGAGCAGCACAGCTGGAGCATTGGAGACTTCAGAGCCACCAGAAAAGTCCCCTCGGGTGGAAGCAGCAGCAGCACCAGACAAGAGCAGCTTTATGAAAGAATTTGACCAAATTCTGGAGGAGTGTGAGGATCCTGGTGCAGCAAGCAGCTCAAGCCCTGCTGTTGATCTGCATAGATTTTTTACTGAGAAAACAATCACTGCCTCAGACAGTCCATACCAGTACTGGAGAGTCAACAAAGATCGGTTACCTTGTCTTGCTGCCACTGCCACAAAATATCTCTAGTGTAGAAAGTGAGAGACTATTCAGCACAGTTTCCAACATTGTGG